ATAAAAATGACAGCAAACTAAAAAAATATTAATGCATAAATTTGTTCATTATGCAACATACCTACATTTTGTTAAGCAATATTATAGCTGCTTATTTTTTTATTTAAAAGAAAAATTGTGTTTTATATTTTTTCAAAAATTGTGTAAATTTGCCAAAAGTAACAATGAACTAAAAAAAAATTACATCATTTTGTCATAATTCATAATTTGTTCTTTTATGCAACATACATTTTGTTAGGATGTATAAATAACAGTTATCTTGCAATCTTTTGGCAGATTATTTGCTATTTAAAAAAAATGAAAATATTATTAAAAAACATTTTTTTTTATTTTTTCAAAAGTCGAACACATTTTGCGTTAACTTTCATAGTTCTATTGTTATAAATTATTGTTATAAAAGTGACAGTAGGTAAACTAAAAAATTCACTCCACTTTGTCATAATTCACAATTTGTTCTTTTATGCCTTTTGTTATAAGAATTRTTTTGGTTTGTTAAATTTGTCTTATTTTGTAGAGGTTTTGGAGTAACATACATTTTGAAGATGAATAATTAACAATCAACGTGCAATATTTTAACAGCTTATRTTTCTAGAAAAAGAAAATTTTGAGAATCTTATTTTAGAAATTATGTATTTTTTTTAATCGTGCAATTGCGTCAATTTGAATAGTTTTATTGTAAGATATTTAGAAAAAATGACGACAAATTAAACAAAACATCAATGCAGATCATCATAATTATTCGTAAATTTGTCCTTCATGCAACAGACCTCTATATTTTGTTACAATGAATAATTATAATTTGTGATTTTATGCAACATACATTTTGTTAGGATGGATAAGCAACAATTAACTTGCATTCTATTGGCAGATTATTTGTTAGTTAAAAGACAAAATTGAGAATTTTATTTAGAAACATCGTGTAATTAGTTAATATTTACACACTTAAATTTCAAATAAAACACAATAAACATTACATGTTTTATTGTTATTTGTTACAACACTTAAGTATTTATAATAATTTACACAAAATTAGTGTTACAAGTGGACTAGGATCAAGATGGAGAAATTTTGACAAAATCAATCAAATCATGGATAACGCGAATGTTTAGAATCTTGTAAATAAGGATGGAGATGTTGGTAGGGATGGGCAATTCCACAATTATAGAAATTGAGCATATCTGTGTAAGCCAAATGATGAGTTTCAGTTTTCGTGCTAAGATTTTCCGGTCGGTTTGCGATTTGAGATCTCACTGAATTTTCATGATGCCCACCATAAGCCATATTGAACAAAGCATCAGGATCACAAACGAATTTGTAAACATATCTTTCACCTAAAACCCGATTCTAGCACAAATAATAAAAAAAAAACACAACTCACCTGCTACTTTTTGCATTATTCCCTTTTCGTAGTAGTATCTCAGAGATCGGCTAAGTTTGTCGTAGTTCATTGCAGGGCGGTTTTTCTGAGCACCCCATCTTCGAGCCACCTGAAATGAAAGTTTAATCGAATTGAAAATTTTCAAAAGTGGGTGAAAACCTCCTCCGGTTCGATTAATTTGAATTCCATTCCTCGCCCTGTCCAGGCTATGCATCCAGCACTGGCGTCAGGAGCGTCTAAAAGTGCCACCAAAAATTGCCACAGTTGCAACGACCCTCTTCTGCCACTTGCATTCTGGAAGTTGGTCGATCGATTATCACCAGATTCGCGGGATTTCTCATCCAGAGTTTTATCTAAAGCGAAATCGAAATGTGTCCTGGTTTATTTTTTTTTTTAATACAAACCTGGAGTGATTAGTCCCATCGGCTGCTTCCAGTGACTCTTACTCGAAGGCGTGTTTTTACATTTGTCGTAACATGTTCTAAAGTTGCCTAAAATAAAAGAAAAAACAAAATTTTGGGCAATTTTTAAAGGTAACTGAGTAATTTAAATGCCAAATTAAAAGCTGCATTTTTATTAAAAAACCTTCTATTTCTATATCTGTTCGTTATATTCTTTGTACTATTTTTCAGAATAAAACACAGTTTTATACTAATATTTGTCCTGATTTATTATGTCCCACAAAAAAAAGATTTTAAAACTTCGTACTTTTCGATTTTTTTAAGCTGCGCTTGATTTCTTTTTAAATACGGGTATGTATGTTTCAAAATGGTCATTTTTATATAAAACAATAATACAAAACAACACAAAAATGGACTCAAGTGGTAAAAAAGCAAAGCAATGCAAACTCAAAATGACATCAAATTTCATCTTTATTATAAAAAATGCTTGAAAAAGTAAAATTTTATAATATCTGAGACACGATTAATTTTTTTATAAACTTATAGAAATTCTAATTTTAGGCAATTTTTGCAGGTAACTGAGTAATTTAAATGCCAAATTAAAAAAGCTGCTATTTTCATTAAAAAACCTTCTATTTCTATATCTGTTTTTTGTATTCTTTGTACTATTTTTCAAATTAAAACGCAGTTTTTATATTTGTCCTTATTTATTATTATTATGTCCCACAATAAAAAAAATCTAAATGAAAAACTTTGCACTTATGGAATTTTTTAAGCTGTACTTATTTTTTTTCAAAATACGAATATGTATGTTCCAAAATGCCCAAGTTTACATAAAATAATCAACTACAAAAATAGATTCAAGTAGTGAAAAAGTGAAACAATGCAAGCTCAAAATGACATCAAATTTCATCTTTATTACAAAAAATGATTGAAAACGTAAAATTTTATAACAATATCTGAGACACGCTTATTTTTTTGAAACCATTGAAATTCTAATTCTAATTTTGAACAATTTTTACAGGTAACTGAATAATTTAAATGCCAAATTATAAGCTGCTATTTTAATTAAAAGACCTTCTTTTTCTATATCTGTTCTTTGTATTCTTTGTACTATTTTTCAAATTAAAACACAGTTTTTACATTTGTCCTGTTTTATTATGTGCTACAATAAAAAAAACAGATTTAAAAACTTTGTACTTTTGGAATTTTTTAAGCTACACTTAATTTTTTKAAAATACGAGTATGTATGTTCCAAAATGGCCAAGTTTACATAAAATAATAAATGAGCTTAAGTYGTAAAAAAGTTGTTTCACTACAAGCTCAAAATGACATCAAATTTCATCTTGAATGACGTAAAATTTTATAACAATATCTGAGGCACGCTAAATTTTTTTGAAACCTATTTGAAATTCTAATTTGTATAAAAAAATTATAAGCCCACGTAGTTTTAGGTTCAAAACTAAAAAAAATAACAAATTAAGATTTTGTACTTTTTAAACTGTCACTTTTGAGCAAGTTTTTTAAAAAAACATTTTTTTCCAAAATCTGTTTTTAGTTATTATTAAAGAATCATAATTAAATCACAAAAAACTATGCAATGAATAATAAC